AGTTATCTCCCCTTTCAAAGAGTTGATTCCCCTCCTGTTTGTAGGCTTCCTTTAGGTACTGAAAGGCTGCAATGATTCACCCCACAGCCTTCTTTTCTCCAGGCTTAACTCAGCCCAGCTCCCTCAGCCTGTCTTTGTAGGGAGGTGCTGCAGCCCCCTGATCATCTTTGTGGCTCTCCTCTGGACCCTCTCATTGTCCTGGGAAAGGATGCATTTCACCCAGAGGGTGGTGATGCACTGGAACAGGTTGCCCAAGGAGGTTGTGGATGCCCCATCCCTGCAGGCATTCAAGGCCAGGCTGGATGTGGCTCTGGGCAGCCTGGGCTCCTGGTTGGTGACCCTGCACACAGCAGGGGGTTGGAACTGGATGATCACTGTGGTCTTTTTCAACCCAGGCCATTCTATGATTCTATGACTTGGCTTTGCTGTGCAGGGTGTTGCTGGCCGCCTCCTTGCACAGACACACAGACACAGGAGCCAGGAAACACCTCCAGAGCTCCATATCAGGCTTGGCGGCTGCACTCCATTTGGACAGCTTTGAATTTTATTTTTTTTTTCCCAACGTTTCTCACATATTTTTATGTAGGTATTGTTTGTTCTCTGCTCTTGTGCACAATGTATTGTTGGAGTAATAAATGCTGAGTTCCCTGTGCTGGCTTAACAAGGCTTGTGTGAATCATTCTGCAGTGGGAAAGAACTTGATGGAATGACTGATACTGCTCTCTGCTCTCACGTCTGGGGTGGGAGACAATTACTTGCTTTCTGCTGTAAATGTCAGCACTGTCAAAGACCGACTGCAGCCTTTGCTCTTCAGGTCTCTAATTCTTTTGAAGGAAAGCATTTTTTATTGTTAGTGACATTTTTGTTTGTAGAAGCCAGCCTTGGTGCTTCTGAAAGCTGACCTTTGTGTCAAAACACAACTTAAATAGCAAGTTGGTGTTCTGGGCTTCCATGTATGTTTGGGAAATGCTCAGAAATTCACATTTGCTGATCCTTCCAGCATCTCTCCCATTACTGTTCAAGATTCCCAGCCTCTTTTTGCAGGATTTCCATGTCCTGCCTACGAAGGGAGGCACGAAACTTGCTCCTGTTTCCAAGGTTTTGTAGGATGTGTGGCAGCAAAATATTAACGATTTAAAGAAATGGCCTTATCAAAAAGTTAATTGCTTCTAACAGCACACTGGGAGGTGAGCAGGACACCTGCCAGGCCTGATCTTCCCTAAGGTCTCAGCCAACTGGCCCAGCCATCACCTTCTCTTGCAGTCTGGCTGGGTTCGTTGGCCAGCTGGATGCTCCCCAAGGCCCAGGGCTGGGGGATGTTGCTCCCCTGCCTATCCAAGCATGTCAAGTGTCATATGGCAGCTCTGAACAGCCAGTCAGTGGTACAAAATCAGAAAGATGGCATTGTGTGCAGAACACGGGCTGGAACGCCTGCCTCCACCAATTATTCATGCTACACCGAAAGATCCTCCCTCCTCTTTCTGTGCCTTCCTGAAGGGTCTGTTTGCAGGAGCCTCAGATCTGAGGTTTCTGCCTTGCTTGGGTGGCTCAAGATCTTTCTTTTCTTAAAACAGGGAGCAAAGTTCTATAATTTATTGAATTATCTCTGAGCTGGAAAGTAATATTTAGATATTACACCTTCCCTGTGGCTTGGCACCAAAGCTTGTACCTGTAATACATAAGTAGGCCTAGGTTCAGCTGTTTTGAGCTGAATAGTGATCGAGAGCTTAATTTATCCAAGCCAGCTTTGAAACAATGGTATTTGTAGGTGCCCTTTTACATTTGGTGGGGAATGGACTGATGCAACCATCAAGAGGGAACGGCTGTTTACAAGAGTGGATAGCAATAGAACAAGGGGGAATGGTCTTAAATTGAGACGGGGGGAGGAAGTTTTTCACCCAGAGGGTGGTGACACACTGGAACAGGTTGCCCAAGGAGGCTGTGGATGCCCCATCCCTGCAGGCATTCAAGGCCAGGCTGGATGTGGCTCTGGGCAGCCTGGGCTGCTGGTTGGCGACCTGCACATAGCAGGGGGTTGGGACTGGATGATCACTGTGCTCCTTTTCAACCCAGGCCATTCTACTATTCTTTGATTCTATGATTCTATGTCTTCTGTTCTTCAGGTTTGCTGTGTCTACGCAAAGGAGAGTGCTGCTGAGCACTGCAGTTTTGGCATCTTAAAAAACAGCATGAAATCAGATCAGGGGTTATCCCAGGCATGGCACTCTCTCCCCATGGTTTCCTTTACAGCAGTTGTTTGTTTATCATTATTTTAAATGGTGCTTCTCCCAGTGCTTGGAATATTCCAACATAAAACAATCAAAAACCAGCATACATGTAATTATTGGAAGCATTGAATCTAAGTTGAGCAATACTGCATTTTCCAGCATGCCCAGCATCCAGGACCTATTGCACTTGTCCATGGCAATGGGCAGATGCTGTGCTCCAGAAAGTTCTGTAACAGTTGTAGGACTGAGCTTTGTGATCTGCCAGCAGATGAAGAGCAAAAAGGTTTTAGCTCCTGTTTAAGGTCAGTCTTCTGGTCAGTTTTTTAGCCTCCAGGATTGCATATGTCCAGTATATAGATATAGATAGGAGTATATGATACAGAAAGGAGCAGAATATCCAAACTAACGGGAACCTGGAAGAGAACAGGAAAATGAAAAGCATTTCCTCCATGGGATTTCCCCACAACCCAACATTTGGGTTCTCAGTGGGGACAACACTGCAGGCTCTGCTCCCTTCCGCTCCGCAGCAGTGTGAGCAATGAGCAGATGGTGCAGCGTGGTGGAAAATCAGGACTCCAAGAAAGCACAGAGTTGAAAGCAAAACCCCCTTCAGCAGAAAGCAACGTGGCTTATTTCAGCATAAAGTGAAAAATTGAGATCCTTGGGCAAAAAATAGAATATGCCTTCAGAGCTGTACCCACTTACGTGAACTGCCTCGTTCCTTCTTGTTGGAGAACACATCTATCCCTTCACAGCTGAGGGCTTCCTCATCTCATTTGTTGTCTTTCAGTTCATTGATCTTGTTCTTCAGTGCTTTCACGAGGCTGTTCTTTGTTGAACTAACAACCGTGCTTATCTCTGAATTTTCTTCTTTTTACTTTATTGCACACCGAAGGCGAATTTTTCAGAATTTCTTCTTGCTGAGGTTTCAGCATGACCTAAATTGCATCCATCGCCTTTAAAATCCAGTGGGCCGTAAGCAGCCATCCAAGGTAGGTAAGAATATCAGATCAAAAACTTGGATTCTGCTTCTCTATTTGTGCATTAAGTGGTGAGTTACCCCTGAAAACAGAACCATTTATTCCACGGGGTTGTTCGTTGTATGCAGTCTCTGCACTTGTGGCTCTTGAATTCCTCTCAGGCCCATACCCCACTATGCCTGCAGCCCTGAAATAAAGGCTCTCACAGCCCCAATTGGGCTCCAGCCCCAAAAACTCCCCGGCCAGCACTGAAGTGTGGGGTAAGTGCCAGGGCAGCAGAACTGCTGCTCTCACTGTGCTATCTGGAGCTCCAGAACGATTGGATTACAGCTCGGCTGGCTGCATTTCTGTGACCTAGATCATCTTCATACTAGCTGAAAAATAATTTAGCAAACCTTCGTATAAAAGCTTATCCAAGATTAAAATGAGATGATATTTATTTATTGCAAACTCTGGGCAGTCATGGTAAACCCCTCATCACTGCCACAGCTGAAATAGTTTATCTGAGCTGATATTCTGATGGCTTCTTTTTGTGACTCCGTAATGTTATCATACTTAAAATGAAATCCTGCATTATACTTGCCGTTCTCTAACATAAAAACCAAAATTATTTTTTTAAGACATGGGAGGTTTAATAGTTCTCATTTAATTGCAAGCCTTGAGTAATAACAAAAAGGTAACGTGTATCTGAAAACCAAGAGCTTGCTTTGACTTTATTAACTTTCTCCTCAGAAATATTCAGCTGTGGGAAAGGATAACACATGTGTTTGTGTATCTGTGTGTGAGCGTGACCTCTGCTCCTCACCTCCTTCAGCACCCACCGTGTTAGGCTCCAAACAGCACAGATAAATAATGCAGGGCCCTTGCCTGGGACAGCTTGCTATTTAATTCATGCGTGCTGCAGAGAAGGGTCAGAAAAAGACTGGAAGTGGAATGTGGGAAGAATAAAACAGTAACGTTCTGTCTTTGTAAGTCATGGTCATTAAAGATGGAATGGGGGAATTTGGTGGAGTGACAAGCTGCTTGCTTACTGCCCCTCTGGCACTATGCATGTTTTTGGGCATTCCCTTCCAGATCATTATTAATTGTGCATGTGAGGTTTTTCAGTCTGGAAGTAGCTGCATCAGCGCCTGCTTCTGCAGTGGTGGTGAATAT